GGGGGGCGGGGGCGGGGGGGGGGGATTGGAGCGGGGCGGGGGGCAGTACGGGGGGTAGGATCAGTAATAACACCAGGTCCGTCGGAGATCTCAGAATCGAGCACCTCTTCAGGTCGTTCTTCCGTATCGATGGCAGCCAGAGTGGCTTCTCCGGGTTTTAGAATCGCAAGTTGCTCCCGCAATTTCTCAATCTGTTTTTGCACCCCGTCTGTGTTCCCGTTCTTATATTGGTCGATCATCTCCATCATAATCCCCTCGGGTAAACAGTTGACGTCTTTACCGATGCCGTTGACCTCATTGGACTCCTTTAAATTCATGTTATGTGTCTTGATCGTGTCCAGGCAAGTTTGTAGTCGATCATCCAATTCCATAGAATCATCTTGCAGCATATGAACAAGATCATATACGGCGGGGGGTGCTTGTTCCCATGCATCATTCTGCTGCCATGTTGGGTGCTCGATCTGGGTTCTTAACTTCTCATAGAGCTCTTGGTACTGACCTGACGAATCCTTAAACCCGAGGAACCTCTTTTTTGCTTCTCCAGTCATGATGTCAGTTACCGCAATGCCGAAGTCCCTCTGCGTCTCTTCTATGAAGACTATAACCCCTTGAAGGAATCTTTCTACCTTTCGATGGTTAGGCTGCTTATTTCGACTGACCTCAGAGAGCCCTTTATTGAGCTGAGAGATGGAGTTGAAGAGTCGCTCTGCGGGGAATTTATACTTGCTCATCATCTCCTGTTTGGTGAGTATCTCTAGTCCGAGCTCGATTTTGAATTTCTTCGAAATTTTCTCCAGCTCGTTATCAATATCATCTTCCGAAGCGTTGGGATTTCGAGTCTTAATAGCCCGCTTCTCACGTGCTTGCTTCTTAGGCCACTCTTGGTAGTACTTTGTCGCGGCTTCCCTCTGTTTAGGTGCCGATACGATGCGTTCGACGTGCTTGCCAATCTTCTCGTTGGCTTTATTGATTGTCTTTTGCTGGGTTGGAGGTATGGTTTTTGAAGTCTTTAGCCACCATTGTTTCACAACCCAATAATGACTCTGCCAAATTTTCTGTATTTCTGCTGGGAGTGGAGAGGGCGGTTCGCGTGCCTTGCGGGCCTCAGCATATCCACGTGTTCCTTCATTCTCAATTCGTGCCTTCAATTGTTGATCCTTTTCATCTCTGCGTGCCTTTGTCTTAGCTCTATGCTCCTTCATTGCTTCAGGGTCTTCATAGAGCTTCGCCTTCCTGGTTCGTTTTTCTTTCCTCTTCGTCTCGGCTACCGATATGTCCTCGTTGGGGTCAGCTTCGGAATCAGAGTCTCCCGAGCTTATAAAGTTATCAGTCTCATCTTCTGATTGATGAGAAGCACGATCATCTTCAGAGTCCGCTTCTTGCTGAACAAGGTTGTCGCTTCGTGTTCCCTCGATGTTGTCGGGCTCGTCTACCGTCGCATCGGTTGCTTCGGCCTGAGCTATAGACTTTTCATTCTTCCTCGTGGATGTTTTGGTGTTATTTTTTGCACGCAATTCGCCTTGGCGTGAAGATTCAGCTGGATAGGCAACTTGCGTGGCCATGGTGTAAGCTTCTTGTGTTGGTTCTGACGTATGTTACAATGTGTAGTAGTAGATGTTGAGACCTGCTCAACGTTGGGTGTTGGTTTCTGCTGCATCAGTAGCCGGCATGCGAGTGGGTTTTATAGAAACACCGTTCCAGAATGTTTTGCGTTGTGCTGTAATCGAGACACAGAAGCCAGTAACCGAATGGGGCTGCTTGGCACCTAATACTGGCGTAGGGAAACCGTATTGTACCTCCTTGATCCGCAACCCGCTTCCCAGTCACACTGTTCCCAGACACCCGCATCCAAGCACGCAAGGGTGCGCTTTAAAAAGAGACTTGGGCCGTCCAAAAACCATACGGAGAAAATGGCTAAGCTTCACTTTCTACTAGCGTATTTTAGCACCGTTGTGCTGGCTGCCACAACGTGCGTTACCCCGCCCTCCCTACAGGTGACTTCAAAGCGAGATTTAGCCGTATCGCACGCGACTGCGACAGCTAGTTCTCCGACATTACGTGGACCTTGGAACACTACTTCGCTTCGAGGCTGGAATGCGACACACGTCACGCAGTCTAAGGGTACTGCATCTGCGTCCCGACCTACAACTACTGTAAATGTCGGCGAAGCAGGGGAGCTTGTCTTCTCGCCGTCGTCACTGAATGCCTCCGCTGGGTCGGTCATCGCGTTCAATTTTCTGGCACTGAACCATACATTGACTGAGAGTGACCTCTGGGATCCATGCCACAGCAATCAGAGATTTGACACTGGATTTCACCAGTACAATCCGGCTAACGTGAGCGGGAAATTCGTAGTCGAGATTGAGGTCACCAGTCAGGAAGCAAAATGGTTCTTCTGCGCGCAAACAGCAAAGCGCTCTCATTGTCGGGCGGGGATGGTCTTCAGTTTAAATCCACATGGAGCGCATGCTGAATTTCTGCACAACGCCTTGGCAGGCGTTGGAGCCACAGCAGCGCCGACTAACAGTATGTGTGAGCTGCCCTCGGTTCATCTGACATCAAGCAAAACAAACACGATTATGGCCCCTACTGGCACGTCGTCCGCGAACTCCAGGAATAGCTCGGTAGCTATAGCCCCTCCCATCTTTAGTTCCGCGGGCACGACTATGAAGTTTAGTGTGTGGTCTATGTTCGTCCTCGCACTTCTATAGATAGATCAAATACAATAGAACACCCATAAACATACATCACTCTACTGTTCGCTCTTCCACCCGTGAGAGTACGGTGCACTTTACAACAGATGGCGCATCACACTGTTGTTGCCAACGGTAAGGCGACTCCCTAGGTAGAGAGACACACTAACGTCCATCCCGTATGACCGAGAAACCCGGCCCACCGAGATGCGTTTGCTACCTAGGCTTCTAACCTCCCTCCCTACGGGTAGAACATCCCACCGCGCAGAACCATGAAAATCTTTAAGCAATACCACGCTTCGAGCCACTGTCTTACAAAACTCAAACAAGCACAGTGATATACCTAAGTGAGAACACAACCTGCTGCAAGGATTAAACCGTAAAATTACAGCGGTCTTGCGCATACTTACAGATATATCTTCAACACTGCCGGAAGCTTCAACAACGATGCACCCCTGTTCTCTTGTCGGACCCCACGATCATCGCCACTTCGGAGGCTCTAATATATGGCTTACCGTGTCAAAATATGGCCCGCAAAGTGCGAAGACCTGCAGCAACCGAGAACATCTGCTCCGGATTATCCACGGAGACGTGCAGGCCTCCCCACTTGCGCAAGGATTCTCCACGCGCTAAGAAAGCGCGTACTTTACACTAAGCGGCCTACATTGTACACCTACCCCTATGCCTAAGAAGCTCTAGCTGTGGCGCATGCTTCTCGAAGCTTCTCTGCACGCGCGCTGCGCCTTTTGGCTATTCTTAGAAGTCAAGGGTGGGCAAGACGAGGGTGACGCCCTCGTCGGCTTCTTGCTCAAGCCCGCCCTCCTCTCATCACCTACGCCGACATGGACCCAGCCAGCCGAGCGCTGGTGCAGACCTTGCCTCTAGGCGTGCGTGATACGTATGCTGCTCGATCGGAACACAGCAATGTTCCAATCTCTACCCTTGTTCATCGCCGCAACGGCCGACGCTCGCGCGAGGAGCAGGCGCAGCGCCAGCAGTACCTCAGTCGAGAGGAGGAGAAAGCTCTGGTACAGTTCTTGCTGCTAATGTCTAACCTTGGCCACCCAGTGCGCATCAAGTTCATACGCCTTCTAGCTTATAGTATAGCTCGTCAGCGGTCCACGAAGACGCAACCGATCAAGCCCCCGGGCAAGAATTGGCCGAAAGCCTTCGCAGAGCGTCACCCAGAGCTACAAGCGAGAAAAGTCAAGTCGATAGACTGGAAACGTCACGAGAACAACGTATATGGCAAGATAGTCGAGTGGTTCGATATAATCGGACAGGTGCTGCAGGACCCGGCTGTCTTGCCAGAGAACGTGTACAACATGGACGAGACGGGCGTCATGCTAAGCATGCTTGGCTCGGTCAAAGTCCTGGTAGGTAAGGATGACCGGCGGAACTATAGAGGTGCGGGTGTAAAGCGGACGATGGTCACCGCTGTCGAGTGTGTGAGTGCAGATGGTAGGGCGCTGCTGCCACTCATTATATGGCCCGCTTCAACTCATCGCAGTAACTGGACTACCCACGAGACCCCGGGGTGGCATTATGCGCACTCGGAGAACGGCTACAACGACTCCAAGATCAACTTGGAGTGGCTCACACGCGTATTTGATCCTCAAACCAGAGCACGAGCTAACGGGAAGCCACGTGTGCTAATCTGCGATGGCTTTGGAAGTCATGAAACACTCGAGATCCTGGAGTTCTGTCTTACTAACAACATTATCCTGTGTCGTCTGCCCTCCCACACATCTCACAAGCTACAGCCCTGCGATGTCGGCCCTTTCGCACCCTTGAAGACAGCGTATCGTGACCAGGTCGAACGACTCAACCGGGGAGGCATAGATATAGTCGGCAAAGAACATTTTACCTATCTGTACAGTCCTGCTAGAGATACAGCATTGACGAAAAGGAACATCAGAGCTGGATGGGCTGCGACCGGTCTGTACCCCTTTAATCCGGAAAGAGTGCTGAAAGATATCCCGAGACCTCCAGTTGAGGTCATCATCCCGGAAGCCACCCTTGCGAGCACCAGTGCGGCTGATATAGTGCTTCAAACACCCATCACACCGGTGACGCCGGTGACAGCGGAAGCGCTTACATCCTTGCACGACGTGATTAAACAAGACACTAGCATGCCTGACGAGACAAGGGATCGCATACAGAAACTCGCAAATGCTGCTCAGATCTCGTTCGCCGAGCGAGCCCTCCTGAAGGACCGCAACCGTTTTCTCTTCAAGATCAACAACGAAGCTAAGGCTCGTAGGTCGACCAGATCCATCGTGCTAGGAAAGGCGAAAGTGATGAGTTTTGAGGACCTAGAAGAGGCGAAGGTGAGGCGTGCGGAAAAGGACAAGGCTGCAGCACAGAAGGGACAGCGTGGTCGCAAGCGCAAGGAACTAGCGTCAGAAGCTCTACCGCCATCAAATAAAGTAGCGCGAACTGGCGGGGTGATAGCATCAGACAACAGTCCAGCAACCTCATGGAGAATCCCCGTTGCGAAGATGTACTAGCACTCTACATGGTTCAGATCTATATTTATCAGAAATCTTCTAGACATGCATGTTGAGTCCTTAGGCCTTTGCGATTGAGTGGAGTACTCTATAGCTCTTGAGGCCTTTTTTTAAGATTTATGACATGTATAGATTACTGTCGAGTCGCAACGGCTATGCTTACGTGTATTCTCAGACCTTAGCTCTGAAATACAGCCTTTGAAGCGCCTGACTGCCTAAGGCATGTCGAAGCGTTGCATCAAGAAACGCTGCTGAGAATACACGACATAGAAATGTTGCAAGAGAAAGAATAGAATTTATTCTTTATGCGAAATCATATAGCGTAACCAGCCCTCCGATGCTAGCCGATCAGGATGAGTCTCTGCGAGTGTGTCGTCTCGCACCTTGACTACGTGCTCTAGCAGCCTCACAGCGTCCTCGATCTGTCCGTTCGCCTCGTAGGAAACACCAAGCTCATGTTCAGCCGACAGCCGATCTGGATCATCTTCGTCCAGTCCCTCTCTGCAACGTAGGCACTCCTCTAGCCATCTCACTGCTTCTGGAACTCTACCATCGAAATCTAGGCATCGTCCTACCCACAAACTCAGTCTGGCTCTGCTTTGAACCTCAACAAATGTTTTTGTATCGAGTAGTCGCAGTGCGTGCGGCATGTATGCTCTCCATACAGCCTGGTTGGCAAAGTCGTCGCTCGGAAAAACCTCGGCAATATGTGCCAGAGCCTGCTGCATCACATCTGCAGTACTGCTATACTTGTCTACCCAGACTCTAGTAGCCAGATGCACAAGTCGATGCAGGTCGTACCATTCTTCTCCTCCATCGACCTCACTAGCATTGTCGCCTTCACGCCTCGACACAAAAGAGTACCCGCAGAGCGTGCCGATAGCTTCTTCTATCCGCTTTTGCGACTGCGGCTTCGGTAGCAGCGACTGCGGTATTGCCTTCCACTCGATGCACGACATGAACGCTAGCAGATCTGCTGCCACCGCATCGCGCTCTCGAAGCTGACTGAACGACACTACCCACGTCGAGGCCACTGCGTTCGCCGAGCCCTTGTAGCGTGTTTGGTCCCGGAACTCTTTGCTCATCATACTGATCGTGTCTTGCTCCGTATGTCTTAGCAGCCGCAGATACTTTGTGATAGTTGTTCTGTTCATGTTTAGATACGCGGCAGCCTGGGCGATGGCCAAAGGGAGGTACGCTAACTCGTCTAGTAGTTCTTCCATCTCTTCGCGCTCCTCAGTGAGGTTTTTCCTAATCAAAGACTTCTCCAAGAAGTTGGTGGCGTCTGGTTTGCTCATGGACCCCAGTTCTAGAACGTCACCTCGTGTCAACGACACTGCTAACTCTTGCACTCGTGTAGTAAACATAGTGATGCCCCTCTCGCTCTCTGGTAGGTAGTCGATGATGCCCGGAGCATGCTCGGTGCCATACAAGATGTCGTAGTCATCTGCATTATCGAGCACAAGCAGCCACGGTCCAGCCTGATCCGCACTCAGATGCTCTTTCACCAGCTCTTTTGCGTTGTCTTTACCCGTCTCCGCCTGACTGATGTGCAAAGCAGCGGCAACAGCCACACAGGCTTGCTCGTAGCTCTCCATGCTGAGTGCAGGCATCCAGAAGATCGAGACGGCTGACATAGTCTCTCTGACTGTGTATGCAAACCGCAAGGCTAGCTGTGTCTTCCCAGCCCCACCGAGTCCGACAATCGACATCTTTTCGCAGCCTATGTCCCCCAGCAACTTCTGGTTGAGTATCTCGAGCTCTTCTGTTCTTCCGACGAAGTATCGGTTCTTGGAAAACGGTATGTGGTACGAGGGTTTGTGGAAAGCTGGCAGGTCAGCGCAAACGGATCAGACACACAAAAAGCTGATTATCCGGCTGCATTCGTACGTACCAGGTGACGCCTGTAGCTGGGACGGTTCCTGCGAGTTTTCCGCGATCGCTTTTCGCAGCCTTCTGAAAGCATTGGACTCGCCTTCGCCATAGTTGAGGAACGTGAAGACGCCAAAGATACCCAGCAACGAGTACGCCTTGTCCTCTTCGCGCGTAGTTTGACGATTGCTTGACCAAGATAGGCGCTGCTCTACGCTGAAGGTGTCCAACCTGGCTCCTGTAAGGGCAGGGCAGGGGATGCTTGTGATCTCGTGGATGAGTTGTTTGAGATTGTATCGGTCTCCTAGATGCGTCCAGTCTCTAGCGTAGAAGCTTACAACGCGCGGAGCAAGCAGCTCTTGGAGCGTCCAACCTCGAGTAAACCACCGACTTCGCCGAAACTCTTCTTCCCAAGCGGGCATGTCGGGTACACGATTCATCGCTGGCTCAGCGTTGAGCACATCCGTCAGAAGAACGTAGCATCGAGTCGCCTCCTGATACCAGCGAAACATAGAGTTGATCGCATGCTGAAGCTCGACATGATCTGCCTTGTTGATGCAGCATGTATCCACCCAGAAGTACCGCAGACCGTCCCGCTGGGCCTGTTGTGCGCAGAAGCGGATCTTGTCGAAGCCAGCCTTGTCACGTCCAAGACCTCTTTTAAACTCGTCGAAGGTGACTTCCTGACCAGGCAGCCAGGTGTGCGAGAGTATAGCGTAGGCGGGCACGTTGTCGGCGCCTATCAAGTCCTCGGTGAGCGCGATCGTGCCGTCGTGTTGTATCTCGAGCAGTCGCATGTTGTGAAAGAGGAGCTTCGGTCCTTGCCTGCATCAGGCTGGACAGCATGGAAGCGCGGCAGCCTATCAAGCTGTTGGGTCGATCGTTTGCGCTTTCGCGTGTCGCCGTTAACGTTGATGGATGCGGGTAGGTGCATGTTCACACATGGAGAAAAGAGTAGGTTGCGTGGCTTTGCTAAGCATCGGGGCAGGCTATGACGGGCGTTAACCTGTGGGTGTGCCAGGAAGACGACCGTTGGGCAAGACATGACGTGGCTAAAGATAGCCAGCACGCGCCACAGCCCAGACTTTCTTGGCATAGTATGGATGTACAATGCAGACCGCTAAGCGTACAAAACCCCGCTATGTAAGCGCGTCCAGTCCCCGCGTCAAAACACGAGATCCTGTCTGCGAATGCGGACAAACCCGGAGTGTATGTAAACAGAGGCTGCACATCATCAAACTTCGCCCAGTTCTATTTAATGTAGTAGGACATGGTTCAAATGCTCCGAAGGGACGATAGTCGTGCTTGTTAGTGGTGGAGCAGGGGTGCATCGTCGTTGCAGCTTCTGGAGCCAAAGACAGATTGCCTAGAAGCAAAACCAGCAATGCTGTATTTTCGTATTGAAGATATACAGTAGACGAAGACACGCTAGAGGTGCAGTTTCAGGCTAGCTCAGTCTTTATTAGAGGATGAGGTCGAGTCTGTGGTGCTTGAACAATGTTCGTGGTTCTGCGCGGCGGGATGTTCTACCAACAGGGAGGGAGGTTATCTCCTATGCCCACGAGCTTGTCGAGCTGTACTTAGCGTAGAATTTCCCTTTACACATCTCTCTTTCGCTAGGCTACGTGTAGGACAAAAGCTCCCCCGACTCATAAACTGCTTTGGAGAAGATCCTCTTCCTGCGGTAGGCGATGCCGACAAAGAAGCCCTTCTCATTCATATTGTACGTGTTGCGCTCTTCAATCTCATGTTCTTGCATCTTAGAGTCCAGCAAGTTAAAGTACAACTTGTATTTACGCTTTTTGTCAGCTAAGAGACGCTTACGATCTGTACTAGTGGTCTATTTGGAGATGAGTTTATGGGGATGACGGTGTTGAAATTGGGTAACCTAGCTATCCGAAACCTTATGCTGCGCAACCGCACTGCCGAAATTTCTTAGAATACTTCTTGTAGATGGTAGTCTTTCTCTTGTGTTCCCTTCTATGTTCCTGATAAGCTTATCCTCTTGTTGTAGGTTGAGATTTCGTCGATGTTCGGCCGCCTCTGTGTCCCGGGGTTGCTGTGCGCCCCGGTGCCTCCGCGACAGCGTCGTTCGATCAACTCCGAATATTTTTGCAGAGAATTCTGCAGGAGCCTGCCGGTATGTTAGTGCGTGCGAAAGAGAGGAGTGCCTGTGAGACGTGCCTTTGCGTTGCTCTTCTTCGAGCGGAAGTCAAGGAGCCGTCGCATCGCGTTGACTCAAATCGGGGCCAAAAGGTGTGTGGTGTAGAACGGCGAATGCGTAGCAGCATCGTGCGCAAGGGCTGTCGTGAGGCTGAGCTGTGGCATGCTGGCAGTCGAGGCGATGGAGGGCGCCTGGTTGCTGTTGGCGTTCGTTGTTCAGCCCGCTCAGCCCGCTCAGCCCGCTCAGCCCGCTCAAGCCCACGCAGCTTATAAACAACATACTATCTACTGCAGCTCCTTCCCACTCGTCACGGCCTTGCCTGAACCTATATTACCATGTACAAGGGACGGCAGGTACACAATTGGAGGACCCAATGGATAAATGAGGATACTGGCAATGCGATCACATTCGTACAGCTTAAAGATAAAGTCGATGGTATCATGCAATCACATCTATGCGTGTGTGCTATCGTGCCTTCGTCGTCATGGTAATCTATTCTTCTTCTTTATCCTTTGCCCGCTTAGCATGTGCGTCATTCGAACCCCAGATTTATATACTCACTCTGCATCGGCGGCTTAAGAGTGTTTCCATACGCCAAGCAATAACTTCCTCCGGTGCCTCAGAAATCTTCTCGTACTTCAGCGCCGCATTGACTCGATCCATAATTTGACGTCGCACCTCTGTCGAGGTTTACTGCCAATCTTGCGACACGTGGACAGTTTGTTGCCGGGTGAACAACTCCAATGGTCAGTCGGTTCCAGAACGCGAAGTGTAAGCAACAAACCAAGAAACGCTGCCATTCCCACCGATAATAGCGAGTAGCTGCTTGGGCTCGAATCTCATCTTCCATTGAGTTAAAAGTCGCGAGGAATTTTATGTGGTTCAGTCGTGCTTGACTTAACTCGGAAGACAGAAGCGTTTCTATCATCAGGCTGCTACGCCGCTGTGGGGTGGTTACAACAGGCCCACGCCACATGTTTGCATGGCACATACATACAGCGCTTAAGAACATGGCAGTGCATGAGTGTGAGATTTGGGGTTATCTACAGGTGACATTGGTACGCGACTGGTCCAAAGTATTTACGCGACACTGTACCGCTATGTGTACAGCCTCCCTATCCTCTATGAGACGTTCTAAATTTCCTAACCCTCCATAAATAACCACAAGATCTACAGCTACGCCGTTTGCACCAGAGCATTGCCTGTAAAGGTGAGCCCTAGCTTATGGAGCTGCTAACTTGACGTACCATTCGAGTGCAGCGGGGCCGTTGGGTGCACTTTCTGGTATTCGAAGTTTTGCTATCTGGTCGCCTGAACAATTCACTGGGTTCGCAGATGCAGACAGTGGTAGGAACGTCTCGTTCTGGAAGCTCAGTGTGGCTTCGCAGCTTGAGTTGCGGAAATTGCTTAGCCTGTCTCTTGGTGAGAAGCTTACCAGAAGATTGCAAGCAGGGACCTACTGGTAGTGGAGCTCTTCGCCAGCTTTGACTTGGACGACCGGATTCGTAAGAATCGGCAGTATTTGATCGAAAGGGATAATTTGAGCAGAGCACAAGCTCAGAAAGAACCACGCGTAGATCAGCATATTAGATGGTGCAGAGGAAAGGGTTGAAGCGAGGTTTTGTTCAGTATAGGTGTAAATAATGATAGTGCTGCTAGAAAGGTGGCAGCCGCCAGCGAATCTTATACTACTGTTTAACTCTCCATAGTCCAAAAACAGGATTTCGAAGTCTGCGATCCGCGAATCCTGTCCTTTGCGACGTACTACTGCGTTCAAGCTGTTTGACGTGGCACAGTATCCTGCTCCTGCTCCCGGCTCTAGATCCCGTTTCGTGTACACTCTCCGTCTAGAGACGCGTGCTCATATATGCCTCAGCGAGAGTGTTTGCTTGCAGGTTGATCACTACGAGCATGTACCCCAGCTATCCAGGCTACACGCGTCATAACGATCTTTCGATTCGATTTGCTGTCCCCAATCAACACATAGTAAGAGTCATTCTTCAGCATTGCGAAGACGAAGATAATCTGCAGTTCAGAGCTGCAGGCAACACTTTGTATCCACGAGTCCGCGAGCTCGCGCGTCTGATGTCTCGACATCGGATCCAACTCACGACAACGGGGACCAACGAACTCGGTGTCACTTTGTTCCTACCCCCACCACCGTGTCCAGCCCCTAAACGGATCTTCGCGAAACTCTGTCCCCACTTCAGGAGGTCAAAAGCGTACGCACCTCGGTTGGAAACAATCGAGGAGGGACCGGAAGAAGATTTGTTAGGGGGCGAGTGGATCACTCTGTATGAATATATGCCTGTCGAACCGAAACAGCGTGCGATGTACGTGGTCTCAGATGAGCGATGTGGGTCTATACGATTGCATGTGTAGTAAGAAACCAGGGCAGCGTAGGTATTGACGGGCGTCTGCGTGTTCGTGGAGGATTCGCTGGTGCGTTCGTGAAGGGTACGAAGGACTTTGGTCTAGAGAGGACTGAACCAGGCGGGTAAAGGCTAACACAGGTCAATAAATCGAAGCCTTGATAGGTACTAGGCGTAACGGGAATGGTGCTCCGTTGCAGTACTTTGTGATGCTCCTAGCTCAGATCCAGTAATGTTTAAAAATTGGAGTTATCGCAAGTGATGACGTGACCCGCCATCCCGTAAGATAGTGACGAGACGAGTGTAAAGGTCGCCGATGCGCGCGCGCGCGTGTGTGTGTGTGTGTGTGTGTGTGTGTGTTCATTTAGTTCCTGGTCGGCAGCACAGGAGGTGCAGGCTGAAGAGCGGCGCGATCGGAAGTCGGAACAACCTGCGAACCCATCCACGAACGGCATTAATTACCACCCACATTGACTCCAACCGAACTGATTAACAGAACCAAGTGAATGAGCACACGTACTTTAACCGATCAGATACACCACAAACAAGGGTGGATTGTTACGCCGCTCTGCTATGTGCTACGGCGCTTATGTATTCAAGCCGTTCATCTGACTGACTGTAATCTATCACTGCTCATAGCTTTGTGGCTTTGTGACTGTAAATTTGTAGCTGTGCGGCTGAGTGGCCGTGCGAGCTTTTGGCAAGCGCTCTTAAACACCCGAAATCCAGGCGGAATTTCTTGGCGTACCCCGCCCGAGATGGTATCAGGTATCTGCCTTGAATTCCACGTACACTCCAGAACCAAAACATTTCTGAAGCTTCTTTTGGGACATAACATGGATTTATTAACAGACAAGGGAATTCATCGACTCCTTACCGAAGACCAAATCCGTCTTCTGACCCTTCGGCCAGGATTATGGAACGACCCCATTCACGGGGAGCTTGAACACATTTCCCTTAGCGCTAACCACGCGTATGAAGCCTTATCATACGTCTGGGGAGACACCAATGATACTTCGTCTATGATTCTTGATAGGACGCTATACCCTATCACGAAAAATTTGGAATGCGCATTGAGGTATTTGCGTTCCAAAGAAGCACCGAGAGTTCTTTGGGTCGACGCTATCTGCATCAATCAAGATGACCAAGACGAGAAGTCAGAGCAAGTGCCAATGATGGGGAAAATATACAGCAGAGCCACGAAAGTCTATGCCTGGCTAGGAGAAGCAGATCGTCGAATGAATTGCATCTTTGATGTTCTACAGGAGTTTCGGGATTGCAAGAAAGAAGTCACATTTTCAACCGATTTTGACGCTGCTGAACGACTTTCTTTCTTTCAGCAACGATTCCGCTGCATCTTTGAGAATAAAGCCGGCACTTTACCCGAACGGAGCGATTTGGACGATAACACATTACATGAACTTCGTGCTTTGTATATGCGGCCTTACTGGCGCCGCGTATGGATTGTTCAGGAACTCGTCTTGGCAAAGGTGGTGGTTGTCTGTTGTGGAGACAGATCCATTGATTTTGACGATATTTATGGACTCAGCCTGGATTGGGGCTCCTTCGAGCAAGGCTTCGATACAGCGACTTATAAGAGACTGAAACCGCATACGAGGGGATGGTACACCATTCTGACGATTCGCGGGCACCGACGACGAAGGGAGGTGGTGGATTGGGATATGGGGGGAGAGGGCCAATATCCGATGAGCATAGAGTTGTCGGAGCGAGGTGATGTCGCGATGCTCGATGAAGTGATTGAAATATACGCGCAACACCACGGATGCAGAGACCTGAAAGACAAAGTATACGGTTTCCGTGAGCTGGTTCCACAATGGAAAGACAACCTTGTGGTAGGGTATGAGCGCTCTGACAAGGAAGTATTTTTGGACGTTGCCCGGCTCGATTTATTCGAACCAAGAAAGCACGGGGGATGGCATGTAGCATTTTGTTTATGGCAAGCAATGGGGTTGGGAGGTCGGGAGGACTTCAACGACTGCATACGGGAATCATTCCCAGAGCTTCGCGATCCTACCCCCACATCTGACGTTGGAGATTTTGAAGATTACTGGGAGTCCAATACTTGAAATTCCTAGGAAAGCAAGAACTGCCGCTCGTGGAGATTGCAATGTGGCTACGAAAGAACAAAGCAATTGACCTTATCTTTATACACTAGTTCTCCCCTCTAACTTCGTCGACGAGGCTTCCATCAAAGTCGCCGATGCCGATGGCGTCGAAGAGGGACGAAACTACCAATGTTGCCCGACCTGCCTCTGATATCTTGGTAGTGCAGAGCAGTCGTTCGCGACCACGTGGCGAGCGACAGCTGGTCAGCTGCACCATATTTCTGCTTCTTCCTTGATGCTTTAGATTGCGAAGTTTTCCGCTTGCTATTTTGGAGCAATTACATAGCTTTTTCATTGTCGCGAGCTCGCTTATTGCGCTTTCGAGCGCGAGAAGAGTACGAGCAGGCCTCAGGGCCTCGTCGTACGTGGACATTTGAGATGATAAACAACCGAGATAGCCTCCGCGCAGATCAGGGCAGGTTAGATGAGGCCGAGCAAATACTCAAGTGGGCGCTGGAGGGATTCGAGAAGGTCCTTGGGCCCGATCACACGTCAACGCTTGACACGGTCAACAACCTGGGCATCCTCTACGCTGATCAGGGCAAGCTAGATGAGGCAGAAGAGATGTACCAACGGGCACTGCAAGGATACGAGACCAGCTTTGGGTCTAATCATCCGCTTTGTCGCAGTCTTCGTCGCACTCTTGCTACGCTTGAAGATCATATAGTGGCTTAATCACTAGGCACTAGAATTTAACTTTCTCTTCTGTAATGTAGTACTAAACGTATGCAAGCAGTTGTACTCTACGCCAAACAGCAACATTAGATGTATTGTGAGAAGCGTTTAACCCTTGATGTTGGTAATTAGTCCTTGTGTACAAGGGCTGCGCTACCTCGTAGGTAAGCTCTACGCTCTGCTGAGGAAGGTGCTAAAGCGCTGTATTTGCGGTAAATTGCACGTGTGCTGACGGGCTAACACTAGGCTCGATCCGTTAGGTGGGGCGACATAATCCCTGTCTGCGGTGTGGCGCAAACTTTGTTGCAACTGCGTTCGAGGGGAAGCCGCATTCGCTAAGCACTGTAGGCTGATTCGAAGTGTAATATAGCACGATGACTAATCCGAAAGCTTGCACGCCATAGAGATAGAAAATCACGCCGCCCTACAGATACCAGCCATTAGAGACATCGCGCCAATGGTAGCGCCAAGAACGGAGAGTAGGACCTTCATCATAAAAGAACTCTTCTACGAAGCTATTCTTGTGCGAGTTCTAGGTTGACGCGAGTGAACTTGTTCTGGAGGCTGCACCGTGTCGGCGATATCGCCTATTATGGCCGCAGCCCAGCCCGCCAGCTGAAGCTGCATGCACAGTGCCATGCCCTGCTGCCACCACACCTACTCCTATAAGCACCACTACAACCGCCCAAGGCTCGTGCAAAACGACGGTTCTTGTTCATGTCTCCCTACCTCCCTAGTTATGCTCCTTTCTCCGACCTTTGCCGCCGTCCGTATCGAACATAACGGATCCGAATCTTCGCCCGCTGTCTAACGCCTTCCTACGACTGGTACGAGCTATGTTTTCGTCAAAGAAGAAAAATGCAGGGAAACAAGAGTACAAGCTAGGACGAGAATACTATGATCAGCAGCGGTACGGCGAGGCAGAGCAGCTGTTGCGACAGTCGGCGCAGCAGCGGGAGAAGGTGCTAGGCACCGACCACGTCGAGACGCTTGAGAGCAAATACCAGTTAGCAGTCACACTCCACAAGCATCAGAAGTACGCAGAGGCAGAGCAGCTGTTGCGACAGTCGGTGCAGCAGCGGGAGAAGGTGCTAGGCACCGGACACGCGATGAAGATAGAGCATATTGTTTGTTCGGCATATTCGGCATCCATCTACCGCTGATATACGGCGAAGGCAGAGAAAACGCGCGCGACCGGCTCAGAAGTGCGGTTACTCTAAAGCACAAGGGCCGCAGTCACGACCAAGAAGAGAGGCTTAGCAAGATCTTCAGCTAGCTCTCGGCGCCTGACCCGTCTACCAACTACCACAAAGCGCATAAGCAGCGGCAGGCTAAGACAGGTCTCTGGCTGCTAGAAAGCACAAAGTTCACAGACTGGAAGAAAAGAGCAGCGTCGCGACTGTGGCTGTACGGGATCCCAGGATGTGGAAAGACCATCCTGAGCTCTACTGTTGTTGAGAATCTGCTGCAATACTGCCATAATGACACTAGCATAGTGACAGCGTACTTCTACTTCGACTTCAACGACACACAGAAACAGGATCTAGAGCTTATGCTGCGCTCGCTGCTCTGCCAGCTTGTGCAGCGGTCGGTCGTGATACCTAAGGGCGTTGATGCGTTGTTCTCATCTTGCGAGAACGGGCAACGGAAGCCATCGTCGCATGCGCTTTTACAAGTAACAAAGGAAGCGGCGCAAGAGTTCACGCACGTGTACGTTGTTCTCGATGCTCTAGATGAGTGTGCGCAGCGCTCGGAGCTGATGGACATGCTCGAAGCAGTGGCTGAGTGGCAGCTTGACAATCTGCATCTGCTCATGACTAGCCGGAAAGAGCGGGACATCGAGCGCTCCTTAGAGGAATACATCAGGGAGGAGGACGCTGTATGTCTTCAAAGGGACGTAGTGGACCAAGACATACAGCGATACATCCAACAAAGGCTGCGTGTCGACAAGGGCTTAGCAAAATGGAACAAGGATGCCGTCGTCAGACAGGAGATTGAGGCCGCGCTGATGGGCGGAGCTCGCGGGATGCAAGTGTTTTGATTCAGTTCTCTGCTGAGCTAGAGCTGACGATGGCGTAGGTTTCGATGGGCTGTATGCCAGCTGGACACACTAGGAAAGTGTTGCAATCGAGCGATGCTGCGCAAATCTCTTGCTAGTCTGCCGCGGACGCTAGACCAGACATACGACCGCATTCTTACCGCGATAGGCGAGGAATATTCTGAGTATGCTATGCGCATCCTGCAGTGGCTGACGTTCTCTGCGCGGCCGCTGTCCGTCGAAGAGGTCGCTGAAGTCGTCGCCATTAACGTGGCGCGCGACCCAGCGTTCGACCGTGATAAGGTGCTAGAAGACCCGCTAGAAGCGCTAAACATCTGCTCTAGTCTAGTCACTATCACAACGAACGAAGTGGACAGAAGATTAGGGTCTGCTCAACGGATCGTTGCTCTAGCACACTACTCAGTGCAGGAGTACCTTGTATCAGACAGGATCAGGCAGGGTTTAGCAAAGCAGTACAGCATGCAAGAGGCCGCATGTCAGAGTGCAATAACGAGAGGTTCTTTAAAGTACCTAATGCAGCTCCAGCAGCCATTAGAAAGAGAGACACTTTAGATGTCTGCACTTGCGAGGTACTCAGCCAAGTTCTAGAGCAGCCATCTTCGAAATACAGGGGACGAGGGAGAACAAGCCAGTCAGCTGGCAGCAAGTTTAATGGCCAGAGAAAAGCCTGCATATCTCACCTAGATCCAGTTGCACGATCCAGACCGTAGCTGGGAGGGGACAAATTTAGAGAAAAGTCTCGATAGTGTGCCTATGCCGCTTTACTACGCCGCATTGTTAGGCTTTAGCACGGTTACAAGACTGCTGCTCGACGCGGGCGCCGAGGTCAACGCGCAGAGTGGAGAGTACGGCAGCGCACTGCAGGCAGCTTCACTTGGAGGCTACGAGCAGGTAGTCAAGACGCTGCTCGACGCGGGCGCTGAGATTAACGCGCAGAGTGGAGAGTACGGCAGCGCACTGCAGGCAGCTTCACTTGGAGGCCACGAGCAGGTAGTCAAGACGCTGCTTAATGCGGGCGCCAAGGTCAACGCGCAGGGTAGAGTCTTCGGCAACGCACTGCAGGTAGCTTCATACAAAGGCCACGAGCAGGTAGTCAAGACGCTGCTTAACGCGAGCGCGGAGGTCAACGCGCAGGGTGGAGTATACGGCAATGCATTGCAGGCAGCTTCATACGGAGGCCACGAGCAGGTACTCAAGATACTGCTTAACGCGGGCGCTGACGTTAACGCGCAGGGTGGAGAGTACGGAAACGCACTGCAGGCAGCTTTAGAGGAAGGCCACGAGCAGATAGTCAAGATGCTGCTCAATGCAGGTGCGCATCAACACCAGGAGGATCACCTTGCGTCAAGGCCTGAATAGCTTTGTTTACGTATCCTACCGAAGATCTTAACACGGCGGCAGCAGTTAGGGACAGCATGCAATAAGCGTGTTAAACTCACCTAGATAGGAACATAGCGCGTAGGAGAACAGGACTATAGACGTGTTTCTACATGCTTGATTGATTGATTGATTAGATCCTACACGGTTGCAGCCGCGAAAAGCAGCTATGCCCGGCTGACAGGCTTGGCAGACAGCCGACGCGGTGCAGACGTTGGTCCGCGCCGCCCCACTTCATTCCAAAGAACCATCTGTCCCTAGAGGCCTGCCGTTTCCCTCCCACCACTATCTACATTTGCCTGTCCGCTCATCTAGATAATGGCTCTACTAACTGAACACTGTACTTCTAGGCTCGTAGAGGCACGGTTGCCTCGTGTTCTGCGTCTGCAATACCTTCAGTCTCCCCCCAGCGCTCGGCTTTCGTCTTCGCGCCTGCGATCCCCATTTTGCCCAAGGATCTGCGTTTGCTCTACATACTCGATGGCTTTGGTGGCTAGCTGTGGCGTGCCTAGGATGGTCCGGATGTTGTCTCGTCCGGACAGGTTGGCGAAGATACGGTCCCGGAGATGCCTGTGCTTGCTGCAGTGGAGAAGGATATGT